ACGAATTGAGACAATCTAATCAAATGATCACATCAGGTGGTAGACCTGATGCCTGAACCGGACTTAGACTGCTCGAATTGATCTCATCAAATGGTCTGCGGCGGTCTGAGACTAAGACGCTTTGTGATATCATCAGATGGTCTGAGATGGACTGACCTGTTTAGATGGATTCTGCAAACTGTCTCAGATCGTCGAAAGATGGTCTGAGACGAATTAGGTAGTAGACCTGATGTCTGAACCGGACTTAGACTGCTCGAATTGATCTCATCAAATGGTCTGCGGTGGTCTGAGACTCAGACGCTTTGTGATATCATCAGATGGTCTGAGATGGGCTGACCTGTTTATATGGAATCTGCAAACTGTGTCAGATCGTCGGAAGATGGTCTGAGAGGACTTGAGACAATCTAATCAAATGATCACATCAGGTGGTAGACCTGATGCCTGAACCGGACTTAGACTGCTCGAATTGATCTCATCAATGGTCTGCGGTGGTCTGAGACTAAGACGCTTTGTGATATCATCAGATCGTCTAAGATGGACTGACCTGTTTATATGGATTCGGCAAACTGTCTCAGATCGTCGGAAGATGGTCTGAGACGAATTGAGACAATCTGATCAAATGATCACATCAGGTGGTAGACCTGATGCCTGAACCGGACTTAGACTGCTCGAATTGATCTCATCAAATGGTCTGCGGTGGTCTGAGACTAAGACGCTTTGTGATATCATCAGATGGTCTGAGATGGACTGACCTGTTTATATGGATTCTGCAAACTGTGTCAGATCGTCGGAAGATGGTCTGAGAGGACTTGAGAGAATCTAATCAAATGATCACATCAGGTGGTAGACCTGATGCCTGAACCGGACTTAGACTGCTCGAATTGATCTCATCAAATGGTTTGCGGTGGTCTGAGACTGAGACGCTGTGTGATACCATCAGATGGTCTGAGATGCGAGACAGACCGAGACGGTTTCAGGTAAACTTATCAGATGGTCTGAGATGGGCTGGTTTGATATGGTCTGAGACAAGCTAGACCGTTCAAATTGATTTGGTTGTCATCAAATGGTCTGAGGTGGTCTGAGATCGACTTGGACGGTCAAATGATCTGAGATGGTCTCATGTGATCCGACCACATGGTCTCACATAGTCCGATAAAAGATGGTCTGAGACGCTTTGAGACGATGATTGAAAAGAACAAATCACATGAGATGGTCTGATATAGTTTGAGACGGGGCTGATGTCCTGAAATAGCCTGAAGATGGTGTGAGACGGTTTGAGACGATCTCATCAAATAGTCTCTGGTCTTAGGTGGTTTGAGAAGGTTAAGATAAGAGGGTCTGAGACGCTTAAGATGACCTCATGAGATGGTGCCACGGGGTCGCGGTCCTCCGTCACGGAGGCGGCCCGGACGTGGTGCGGATGGGGATGACCGACCCAGTCAAAGAGCGCATGGACCCGCGGGGTTGCAGTACTCCACCTTGGAGTACTGCGGCCCGGGGTGCCAAAGCGGAATGAGCCGTCCGCCAGCGCGGGACCCCTCTTCGCTTCAGCCTGGTCTACTTCATCTTCAAGATGTCCCTCTCGACTCAGGTTTCCGCTGCGTGTGTGTTGCGCTGGCTTCCCCCCTGTTCAAAGGAGCTTGATCCTTGGCCCTGGCCGGAGGTGATGCCCTTTTTGTTTGTGTGGTTTTGCTTGCAGGTACTCCTAGGCCAACCTTCATCGAAGGCTCCGGAGGAGTGGAGTGGGAGTGAGTGAAGTGAGTGGAGTGAGTGGTCGACCCTCCACTCCACTCACTCCACTCACTCAACTCACCTCACCTCACCTCACCTCACCTCACCTCACCTCACCTCACCTCACCTCACCTCACCTCACCTCACCTCACCTCACCTCACCTCACCTCACCTCACCTCACCTCACCTCACCTCACCTCACCTCACCTCACCTCCTCTCCTCTCCTCTCCTCTCCTCTCCTCTCACTCTCACTCACTCACTCACTCACTCACTCACTCACTCACTCACTCACTCACTCACTCACTCACTCACTCACTCACTCACTCACTCACTCACTCACTCACTCACTCACTCACTCACTCACTCACTCACTCGTTAGATGGTCTGAAATGATCTGAGATAGCTTGAGATGGTCTGCAATGGTCTCAAACGAACTAGGGTGATCTCTCCAAATGGTCTGCGATGGTCTGCAATGGTCTTAAAGGGTCTGAGGCGACTCTGAAATGGTCTGTGACAGGCCGAGGGCCAGGCTCCGACTTGAGTGTCGCAATGACCTCACAGGGCACAGTCGCTCCAAACGATTCGACACTGGAGTGCTGCTCTCTCGCTCTCACGATGCAAGGTGCATTGAAGAATTGAGGCCGGTGCTGAAACCCATGCAGTGAACAGGTACTGGGAGGCCTGCCGCTGACGCAAATGGGCCACATGAAGTCTGGCAAACTTGTTGGTGATGGTTCTTGTTTAGCCAGCCTTCATCAGCCGGTCAGGTTGCGTGACAGCCATCATCGCCATCTTTGCCTGTCATTCATGGCGATGCGACACTGTGTGGCATTGCTACGTGCCTTGTGGTTGATGAGATCGTTGGTGCTCATCTGCTGAACATCTGCAATCCCATCCTGGCAAAGCGCATGCCAACGCCAGGCCTGGGTGCATGGGTGCAGGCACCCAGTCGCATGCTGGTTGCATGCCTTGTCCAGATCCTTTTTCTCATCCTCCTCATGGGCCTCTGTGCACAGGGCTGTGCACATGCAGCACATGCAGCACATGCAGCACATGCAGCACATGCAGCAAATGCAGATCCACATCCCTTCTCGCGCTCTGAGCTGCACGCTACCTTAACCAGCATAGCCTGGCCAAAAGGCGCATGCTCCTTTGCCCATGTGCGGCTCACGAGGCCTGTTCCCAGCACAAAGCCAGTTCCTGGCAACACGCAGCTGTATGCTATTGTAGCTAGTGCGTGCCACTCACGCTCACTCGAAAGCTCTGACTCATGTAACAGGCCCTGCGCACGTCCATGAGCAACTGCCCGCCAAAGTTGCGGAAGGCTTCGAAGGCGGCGATGGAGGCAAAGTACACGCCTTTCCACAATCCCGAGTTGCCATCCCAAGAAATTGCTGACTTTGGGCCCCGGCCCCCGAAGAAGCACAAGCCGACCCCGAAGATCATCTCAATCAAATGAATTGGCAGGATCTTGTAGACCTCAAGCTTGTGACGTTTCAGACACACACTCTTGTCGAGCTATCAAGATTCCCCAACAATAGGTGAAATGTCAGCCAGCAGCATGCCATGCCGCGTGGCAAGACACGTCTTGGACATGCCTCATGGCTCCAATGCAGCGTGCTGTTGAATGTAACACGCTGGTGGACGGGATGCCAGCCAACCCCGAAAATGCTGGCGCAGGAAATCAAGTGACTTAAATGGATGACCTGGGAACACAGCTGTTGCAAACTCATCACAAGATATCTTCGTTGTTGCCCTCATTGTCCTCATTATCCGCATCACCTTCACCATCCTCTTACTGTCCAAATCGTCATCATCGTGGTTGGCATCGTCATCATCATCATCATCATCATCATCATCATCATCATCATCACCAACGTCAGCGTCGTCGTCATGCTGCACTAAACGCCTGGTGACTCACAGCTCAAGCTGTCCAAGACGACGGTCCGAAGCGTCAATCAACATGTCTCTACAAAAAATGGCAGCGCAAGTGACAGCTGTCGGCGGTGCACATCTGCCACATTCGCTGGAAACGCCTGTTCTGCCTGGTCCAGTAAGAGCAACTGGTTGTTGGTGGTTATCAAACATCATGTTTCGGGGGCAAGTATCATGTTACCTACCTGTTGCTTTCTTGTTTCTGGATGTCACTTTCATGGGCCCTGTTGCTGAATGGAGCGCTGCTTTGTCCACGGAGACAAGCGAAACCAGGATACTTTTCAGGGGGTCTGCGTCTGTCAAGGCCCTCACATGTCTTGGCATGTTGGCCTGTCTGCCTCAGCTTTTGGGGATTAAGTGGCGTATGGAAATGGCGGTTGCCCTTGTCTGCGCCTTGTAAAGCTGCTTGCCGATGAAGACGTAGATCATGATAATGATGATCAAAGGCTTCATGAGATACGTCCTGGGACGGGCATGAGGCAGGGCTTGCCGAGGCTCCGCCACCATCACTCCACTACTGCTGCCCAAGGAGCATGAAGCATTTGAGGCCCCTGTGCAAAATCTGTCCAGTTCCATGTATGCGCTTCTCCGGTGCGGAATGACACGAAATGAAGGCTGAAGGCTGGCCAAGGCGCTTCTTCCACCAGGTGTCATCCTCTGTGTCATAAGCCAAGGATATTTTGGCCGCCCGCATCCTGAGCAACAAGTGCCAGCCACTAGGCCACAAGCGCTTCTGAGAGCTCAAGGACAATGCAAGATCCCAAAACCAACGTCAAAAGTGCAACTCGCATTTCTGGGTCTCCCCCATTTTCAGGGAGTTAGGGGCGTAGGGATCTTCTAGCAAGCTGCTCTTCCCAGGTTGTGCCGATCTGATTGCTCAAGTCTTTGGCAAAGGCGGTGGCTTCCTTGCATGTAAAGTCTGAGTGCCCACCGCAACTCTCTCCGCCCGCCTTTTTGATATCCGTGGCAGTCGACTTCGCGGCCTCGACGTCCATCTTCATGCCTAAAGCGAACCGAGCCAAGCCGAGCACTCTGAGTCCGACTTGAGCCGGGCCCAGCTCCGCGTCCTTCTTCCCGTCATCTCCCAGGAGACCTTTCTTCGCCTCCTCCTGAGGGCCGAAGGCATCAAAGGCCTGGGCCTTGAGGCGAGCCCGTTCTGAGAGCCCGACTGTCGACATGAATCGGAGATTCCAGCGATGGAGGTGCGCCGACTTGAGCCCAAACACTGCGCACGACGGAGCGCCCAGCGCGCATACGCTCGAGCTTGACAGGCAGGCCTTTTGCGTTGGCTGCACATCGGCGCACTGACGTGATGCACTTGGGAAATGGGCGCCTGTTGATGGATGCACCATTGCAGCTGCCGCCCCAAAGGCAACAATGCGCTGACCAGGCCTCAAAGGCTCAGGAACGAGCAAGCAAAGCAAACGAACAAGCAATCGCAAGGCAAGGAAAGCAAGGAAAGCAAGGAAAGCACGGAAAGCAAGGAAAGCAAGGAAAGCAAGGCAAGTGGCAAAAATTGCAGTCAAGGTGCTCTGGAAGATTGCCGCCCATGGGGATGTAGCAAAACTCCTTTGACAAGGCGACGAGAAGGGAAGGAGGATCATGAGATCTTCAGGGTTCTCGCTCCTCTTCTGAGCCTATCAATAAAAATGATGTTCATTGTCTTGGATGTCCTCGTCACTGATGGTCTCCTCTCTGTAGGAAACACCTTGGAACATGTCGGACAAACGACTTGAGAATTTGAGATCATTGGGGGCCTAGCCTAAGTGTCTCAGCCGCGCAAAGCAGCGCTGCTTGCACTCTTCGAAGCTAATGGCAGGGCGAGCGACCTGGCACTGGATGGCAACTCTTGCGATTTTTGGACGGGAGCTTCCCACCAGCGACGTCTCTTCAAAGAAGACCTGGGAAGCTCCGAGAGCTGAGAGCTGTGAGCGCATCGCTCAGGAAACTTTAAGCGTTGTGCTCGTTGCGCATTTGGCTCACCAGGCACCTAGGCAAAATCAATATTTCAATGTGCAAAATTGAGTGTGCTGCCAAAATGATGCTGAATTCACTGCACAACTTGACTGTTTGTCTTAGTGGGCCGCCCTGTGTTGTTTCGGGACGTTCTCCAGTTCGTTCCAGGGTGGACTTCAGGTGTGCACGGGTGGGTTCAGGGTTGCATCTTAGTTGGGGGGGATGGTAAAAAGGGGGGTTGGCTGCAGGTGAGTTTAGTGTGAATATATATTATATATATTAACATGCACACACACACATATATATAACATAATCATATATACATACATATATATATATATATATATTATATGTGGGCCGGGTAAGCTCAGGGTGGGCATTGGGCAGGTTTAGGGTATGTCTACGGTTGGTTTGGGGTGGGTGGGCAGGTGCGCCTAGGGCGCTCACTTGCTCGCTCGCTTGCTTTTTCAGGGAAGTCCAGAGGGAAAAATCCCGCAAAAAGTATGGCACCGCTAATCTAACTCTGAGAGACATTTTTCTAGGCTCAGGGCTTCAGTGGGAGGCTGCCGGCTTCGCGGGGCCAGAATTCGGGGAAGAGTTTCGCGAGGATCGCGGCAAGACGGTGGCTTCGCGGAGTGGCTTCGCCGGGCTGTGCGGACGTTTGTTTCACATCTGTGACGTCTGTGTACGTGTGTGCTCTTATTTGGTTGAGTCATGTCAAATCTACGCGAATGGGGACAATGAAAGCCGACAAGAAAGCCGACAAGAGAGACATTGAGTTTCAGGACTACAGGGGCGGAGCATGGAAGTTGGGCCGCTGTGGCTTTGCAGAGGCTTCACACAGGCTCCGCGAAAATTGTCAAAATAACATACTGTCACCACGAAGTGGCTTCGCAAAGTGGCTTCGCCTGTGTCAATGTTGCCGGGCTACGCGAATTGGCTTCGCGGGGCTTCGCGGCTCAAAATGTATCACACAAGTGCCTTCACGGACCTTTTGGGAGTTCCCCCCGAAGCTGAAGTGCATCATCTGTCAACAACCGCTACTTGTCTGAGGCACAAACAGGCCCCAAAGGCATGACATAAATGAAGGTCGGCTCCTTCTCGGCTCTTTGTTCCCACTCCTCAGTGAACGCTTCCCGTATCAAGATCTCTCTCAAAGACCGCTTTGCCTTGTCAAAGCTCAGATGGTCAGTTCCTCACAGTGGCCCAGCTGAAGTCTATACAAAGCTGCGCACACCACGCGGTATGAGCCAAGGGCTGTAGTCAAACAAGGTCATTGCTTCGGGCGCATAGTAGAAATCCCCGTCCACAATCTTGGGGGCCACTGCCAAATGCACGTGGCTCGTGTGGCTCGCATGGGCCCAGGGCAACTTCGCATCCGTAGGCAATCTGATACCCCGCAGCCGGGCCCGGCGCCTGTCCCTGAGCGAGGCATGGCGAGGCTCGAGCGCTGGAGACATGGCGGCCAGACCGGAGCTGGCAGGCGCCGAGTTAGGCTGGACTCAAAGCCGGTGCTGTCAACAATCAGCCTTACATAGTCACATAGCGTCCATTTCCTGGAAAATGCCCAATCCCAACCGCGCAGAGCCGCTTGGTGCGGATGGCCGAACCATCAGCCAAAAGGATGACAGAGCCTTGGATCATCTGAGAGGTCCAAAGGTAAGGTGCCTTTGATTCGCGGCCTGAGCCACTGTGGCGGATGGCGGGGCAGTCGAACACGTTGTTTGCGATGGCCTCAGCCCCGGAGCATCCTGGAGTGAAGCTCAGCGCTCCAACGGGCACCTTGCACTCCACCTCGGACTCGATAACCTTCACGTTCGGGCCTCAGCGAGCCGCATTGCCCAGGAAGCTTTGCGTCAAGTGGATTCCGCGCACTGACATCACTAAGGTGCTACACGTTAGCCCTGGACAGAAGCGATTTCCAGTTCTCCCCAACCCCTTCAAACCTTTCACCATGTGATACCGTGTCACAGCCAGTGAGTCACAATATTGCCCTGACTGCACATGTCTGCTTCTTGTGCACATTGAGGTCACATGTCGGAAAAGTTGGGGTTACTTCCTTCGCCATGCTTCTTAGCTTCTCAGCTTCGTAGCTTCCTGCACTTCGACTCTCAACACCACTTCGGGGTCCCAGCTGCTTCGGAGGAGCTGCTTCAGCTTCGCACGGTCCACCCTGGCCTCGGCATGAGCTCGAGCCTGCTTCGGAATTTGTGCCTCTTGGCACAGAAATTGTGCGAAAACTGTGTGCCAAAAGATCCTCTGAGGCATGCTCTGGCTTTGCTCATGTCTAAATCAGCTCAGGAGTTGCAATACTGAACGGAGGCGGTAATTCGGTGCCGCGGGTAAAGCCAATGTCCACGCTTCAATGCAAGGTGCTGCTTGACTCGATTGGGTAGTCTGTGCAATTCTATCATATCAGTGTGATGCTGGTTATGTTAGATCCCCTCCCAAACTGGGGCATTCAACCCTGGGTTGATTTGAGTTCAGAATCACAGTAATTTTCAAGTCATGCCTCTATACTCTATTTTGCCACTTGCATAGACAGTTGGGGGATTCTGTCCCAATTGGGCAACACCGCCGTGGCAATCGAGCCCGATTCAAGACTCCCGAATCAGTCATCACCCTACATCCGCCAATTGCGAGCTCTCCTAGCTGGCTACAACATTTTGGCAATTCAAAAAGCCCATGTCCTAGGATGTCCTAGGTTTGCATTGGGACCCGAAGAGGTAGGCTCGGTTGCAGCTCGCACGAGCAGATGTCACATGCCGATGCCAAGCATCCAGCGTACGGCCGATCAAGCCGGAGGCGATTGTCCACCGGCAACTGGCAGTCCATTTGCAAATGAGTTGAGCCATGGCGCCAACCTCAATTGAGTCTCACATCTCGCACCTCCCAGCTACCTCCGAAGTAGCAGTCTGTCACCTTCCACTGCGCCTGCAAGCCTAGGGCAAGTTGGAAATGCCAAGCCATGGCAAGCCATGGCAAGCCATAGCGTGTAAAGCTGGGCGCACGGCAGGCGTTCAAATCCACCCCGAGCTTGGCTGCCAAGGCGTCCCACTCTGCCTGGGATTTCGGATTGAGCTCAGAACCCATGCAATTCGCATCCCAAAAAAAGGGCATGGCCTGCCAAACGCCGTAGTTGTTCGGCCACTTCTTTGAGGCCGCTGGGTCAATGAGACAAACCTTCCTGACCGCGCAATAACCCGCAGCCGAATCCCGCATGTCTGCTCTTTGCATTAGGGCCGTTAGGGCGTTCGCTCTTTGCACTCCTGCCGTGTTGCTCTGCAAGCAGGTAGGCCAACAGCGTCCCACCGGGCCCTGCTCCAATCACCGCCACATCCACCTCGAATTCGGAACTTGCAATTTGTGATCTAAAGCTTCGAAAGAGTCCAATCACCAGCCTCCTCTTCGTCGAACACCTCGGCCGCCGCGAAGAAGGCATCCTCATTGCGTCGGCTGCTGGAGCTTTCCGGGAGCTTTCCGGGAGCTTTCTGGGAGCTTTCGGGTTTGGTCCTTGGCTGAAGGGCGCTCCTTTGGAGCCGCCGAGCGCGACACGCGGTTGACAAGTCCCGCAGCCTGGCAGTGACACGAGAGAACTAAGTTGAGGCGCGCAGCTAAAAACACGTGCGTTTTATTCAGCGCGGTGAGGCCATCACTTTGGGGATCCTCACTAAGCCCTTTCGGCTTTTCTTACACCCAACTTTTGTCAGATGCAAAACTATCCAAGGACTGCAGCCAGGATTGTGGAGTGTCATCCACGGTTCCAAGCTCCACCTTCGTGAAGTTGCATTCTTTCCAACTGCCATCCGGCCTCAGAAGAGCAACGCTGATGTATGCATTTGGAGCGGTGGGGCTCACGTGCTTCGCGTCTGAGCCTTGCCACCTCTCCAGCACTATGTGTGACCCATCCCAGGAGGCAAAGACACCTTGCAGCGAGAGGAAGGCCTCAGGAGCCGCCGAGTTGGGGGATAGGGAGAAGAACAAAAGGCCCAGGGAGATGCTCGCCCACACGGGGTATCTGCCAGATGGATCGCCGATCTCATGCGGCGGCGTGCTGGTGATGCTCAGCCATCCCTGCTTGCCTTCCATCCACGTCCGCGCGTTCAACCTCTCGCCATCCCCATGTCCCTGTCTGTGTCCCTCCTCCCGCCCGGGCTGTCCGTGCTCCCACCCCAGGCCCAGGGGCACGCTCAACGCCGGCGTCGGCTGGCTGCAGACCGCGTGCCAGATCTTGAAAAGAGCCACGTCGGAGATGGGGTCCGCGTCGTGCATCCTCTTCCAGGTGTCGAAGTCCATCTCGCGCACGTCGTGCGCGTCGTGCACGTAGTGATGCAGACACAGCACCGACAGGAAGAGGCGCTGCAGCACTTCCGCGCTGCTCAGCTCAACCTTCAGATCAAGGCCACGCAGCTCACCAGCGTCACCTTGTGAGCCATCCGCCTCAGTTGAGACAAAGCAAATCAGGGCTAGCACGTGCTTTCGGAGAATAACTCGGCCCGGCCTCCCCTTCCTCCTGACAAGTCCACCAGTTAATCGCGACTGCATGGACGAGGCGATCCAGCTTCTGCAAGTCAGGTGGCCTCGGCTTGCTGAGCTGAGTTGACAAGCTCCTCACATTCTTTTACCAGCCCTCACCTTCCGAAACTGAGGACTGGGCCAGGCAAGGCCACGACGCGCTTCAACCAGCGCGCCAACCACCCCCGTGTTCCAGAACTCACAGCGGCTGAAGAAAGCGAGGCGGAGGGTGTCGCACATCGCAAAGCCCTCCCCTAGGAAGTCTCCCACAGCCTGCACGAGCTGCAAACACGGGAGTGCGAGTTGCACGAGGGCGAGCCCGCCTCCCGGTCAATGCCCTCTTGGTAGAGAAACTTGGAGGCGCTCCGAGGATAGTCGTGAACCAAGCCAGCTGCCCGGATGAAGGCAATGCCGTAGCCCGGCTGGGCATTGAAGATGCGTATGCCCACAGCGCAGGCGTCCCTGTGCCCACGGTAACCAGCCACGGGCTGCTGCGGCGTGAAAAAGGGCGTGGGCAGCGGCGCCTCTGCGTCTTCCGCATCGGGTTTGTCCCAGTGGAAGCTCCACGGCAGCTGTGAGGATGACAGCAAATGATCCTGGAAGGAGGCAAAGGCAGCGTGCGTGCCGCCGTCCATGCACATGTCCGAAGGCAGCTCTCCGTGGCTGTTGCGGACCCACACAGGTGCCCCAGCCTGCAAGTCCCTTCATGAGTCATGCCCCTTTCTCCTCAAGTCTGACTACATTCAACGGAAGAAACATGGTAGAGACCATAAGAAGCTGCTGGCCATCCGCAAACCACGAATCAATGGGAGTTCGTCCCAAAGGAAGTCTCCTGTTTGGGTGCTTGCACAACAAGAGCGACAAGTGTTTAACACTTTGCAACATTCAAGTTGAACCTCTGGCGAGTGTATTAAATTTATTGAGTACTTCTTGGGCATAGGTTGACAAATGTGTGACATGTATGTGTAACTCGAATCTATGCTCAAGAAGAACTCAAGAAATCAAATGCATTCGTAGAAATGTTGATTGCATGAAATGCGTTGTATGCTTCACATGTCTGTTGTGAATCGATTTGTTTCCGGATGGAAAGCCTTCAACAGCAGCACCACCACCTGGGCGCGGCCCATGCGGGCGGCCACGTGCAGCGGCGTCCACCCAGCCACGTCCGCGCGATCCAGCGGCGGGGACCGGGCGCTGCGAGCGACGCCTCGAGCGTCGAAGGGCGAGAGGCCCAGCAGCAGAGACACCACCGGGGCCGCCCCGCCCCGGCACGCCGCCTCGGGCCAAATCTCGAAGGGTGCGGATTGTTTTCGGTTTTTGTTTCTTCTTTTTTTTTTTTTTTTTGCATTTTACACTAGCCTGTCAACATCCCCAGCATCGTTTTCAACATCCCCCTCATGTCCAACCAACATCCCTAGCATCACCAACAAGTCGTGGGTAACAAAATCGAAAAAGTAGATGGCGGGTTGACGGGGTCAACAAAATGATGATTCAGTCCGTCCCTGCAAAAAACCACTAAAAAGTAGTGGGGGGGGTTAGGGGGGGCGGCAGCCCCCCCATGATGTCGGAAGAAGTGATGATTCAAGTAGGGGTGCAATGATTCAAGAATTGGGTGCGATAGAACTTGAAAGGCTGCGGGAGGGTTGGCGGGGGTGGCTTCCCCTATGATGTTCGAAGAAGTGCATACATACACACATACATGGATTACACAGATTACCTAAAATATCGTATTTTGCAGCAATTACTCGCGAAATTGGACGCTCGAAAAAGTGATGATTCAAATAGGGGTTCAATTCAATCTCTGCAAGACATTTAAAAAGTAGCGGGGGGGTTGGGGGGGCGGCAGCCCCCCCCATGATGTTTAAAGAAGTGTTGATTCAAATAGGGGTGCAATTACTCTGCAAACAATCTAAACAGTAGCGGGTGGGTTGGGGGGGGGTACTGCTTGCTGATGATTCAAATAAGGCGGAACTGGTGATGCTGATGATGCGGGAATCCAAATCCAAAAGCCAATGAAAGGGTGCAAAAGCCAAAAAGCCCAGAGAGGAACTGTGAAAGCAGAGGATGCGGAAAGCCAAAGCCACCAAAAGCCGCATAAACGCAAAAGCCAAAACGCCACCTGCCGAAGAGGAACTGGGAATGCTGCAGAGGATGCGAAAAGCCAAAGTCACCAAAAGCCGCATAAACCAACAAAAAGCCGAAAAGTCCAGAAGCCAAGAAGCCAAGAAGCCAAAAAGCAAAGAAGCCAAGAAGCCAAGAAGCGAAAAACGAGGAAAAAAAAACGGGGGGGGGGGGGGGAAAACTAAGATGAATACCCCTCCAATCTCAAATCTCTCCGCTTCTCCATTGACGAAAACATGTGCCTCCAGTGAAGCCAAGAGGAAGCAATAAAATACGAGGCCGGGGTGGGGTCGTGTGTCTTCCAAGCCGTGGTTGGCAAAGTTCGGGCAGCCCACGTCAACCCGCAACTCACACCAAGCCGGCGCAAAGCAATGCTGGATTGGTGCGGCTTGCTTTCTGGCAGTCTGGGCGAGTAGCTCAAGGACTTAAAGTTGCGAAAGGGTTTGAAATAGTATTTCGGGAGAGAATAAACAGGCCCAATCCCACCAACAAGAAGAGATTGTTTAAACCGCCCAGTCCCAGGGGCAAAATGGTGCCCTCGGCTGGCCAAACACGAACCAAAACAGGGTGCCAGTTGTAACAAGGTAAAGAAACCCAGCAAGGGCAGAGACAACCGAAAGCAAGCGCAAAGCAGCAAACCAAGCAGGCAAACAATGCAGCGAAGCAAGCAAAGCAAACCAATGCACGCAACCCCCAACCCCGAATCCTGACCCGCCACCAAGACCACCCAGCCGCCGTAGACCGGAGCGTGGGGCACAAACTCCCACGCGCCGGCACAGCGCCGCTGGCAGCAGTTTTGACGCGATGGCAAGATGAAGTCGCCGGGATTAAAAGCTTGAGCCAAACCGCATTGGGTATTGGCATGAAACAAACACGTTGTGATAAAAGTACATGCCCCCAAAAACACCCCCCTCGCCTGTACAAAGAGAAGGAGTGAATTTGGAAGGGCGCATTGGCCATGTTAGAGTTGAAGAAAACAAAACAAGAAAACAGAGACGATTAGACTACCAGGGTTCGCGACCCCATACCCGGACACTCATTGGTGTCCGGATCCCGCCACCACCCCGAATTACGGGTATGGGGCGGATTCGCGCCGGTAGTCAAATCAAACAAGGAAAGACAACAAAGGAAACAACAACAAAGGTTCAACTCCAGAATGGAGGGCATCAAGCCAAATAACATTTGCATTGGAACCACATTGAATCAAAGTTAAATTCATGGCACTTGGCTGCCTATTCGTTCTGTTTTGCTGTCAGGGTTTTCATGTTGTAGCGGTTAGTTGAAAGGTGGAAAAGGTACAGAAGGAAACCGCTGGCGGCGGCAGCGGCAGCTGCAAGGTGCTCCCGGCTGCTTTGCTGCCTGCCGCTAGCAGTTGGTGGGCTCTCAAGTGTAAGCCCCTATTTGAAACCGCTGGCGGGCACCCTTCGTTACCCATTTGAACTTCTTTTTTTCCGGGCTGCTATCAAAGAAGGCCAACGGATTCAAATATGGGCGTCTGCATTCAGCCATTATTGCTGGACACTGATTTTTGAGCTCAACCCACTGCCATTTACGGCAACAGACCCAAAAAGGGCACGTTCTCTGATGGGGTAGCGCGGCATGCCGCTCATCAAAAAGCGGCCAGCTTCAAGCAACCAGGCCAGACCCTTCAATTACCTTTCAACATTTCTCCTCTTCTAAAATTCTAAAATTGAGGTGGCGCTATTCCAAGATGAAGAAAGTGAAGCTGGAGATCCTCCAAGCAGCCCTCGACCAGGCTTAAACATGATCAGTCTGATTCCTCTCAATTTGGCTGGCAGCTTACGTTTGATGCGTGAGCCTGCCCAGGCCCTCCAGCAAGGAAGTTGAAGCGACGGACAACTGATGATGGTTCTGACTTTGCACCATATCCCCGGGCAACACCGCGCCCGCAGCGGCACAGTTGAAAATAGCATTGCTCA